TGGGGCCGGTATGCCGGGAATGCTGTTAGCTAGAAGGGATGCACCAGGCTCCAGCCAGAAAAGGGAAGGGAGAACTTGTCTGCACTTTTCCCTTTGAGAAGAGCATTGCTTCGGGTCCTGCTGGGAGTGCTCCAAGGGGAGAGGGCTTGGCAGGCAATAAATACAGAGAAACCAGGCTTTGAGTCAAGACTGCACTTATCAGAGTTGGGCCAGGTAAGACAGGGGTCTTGGAGCTGCCATCAGCTGCAAGAAAAAGCCATAAGCAGTCAGTGGGAAGGGGGGAATGGAGGAAGGATGCTCTCGTTGGGTAGCATGGTTCACCATGCATCCAACTTACGCTTCTGCAAAGAGCTACCACAATGGGCAAAATGTTGTTTCTCAATAATGTGATGCACTGTTTGGGATCTCATATTTTCCAGCTAGCATGCAAGACCCTAAACACTGCTTCCCCCTAAAGAGGCCCTGCACACACTAGGTAGGCTCTTGTAGGGTGTTCTTCTCCCTAGCTGGAGTGTTCAAGCCTGCCAAGGCTACACAGGCACAAAATCCAGTGGCAGGTGCGCAGCATCATCACAGAAATAGCTCAAGTGGCAAAGTTTTCACCAATTTTAGCAATGCTTGCACATGATCCTGTTAAAAAACAAAACCCACTTTGACAGCCCAAAGGTCACCCCTGCCTGGTGAGCACTGCACGAAGCAAGAAAGAAACCAGGAACAGCTAGATGATTTTACTGTGAATCAAAATGCAAATCATGAATATATTTTTTAAACACCTGCCTGGTAGTCCAGTGCCAAGTAATTTTTTATATCAACCATTACAGCTGTGCACTGACAACTCTCACCAACACATCCATAGGCTTCACAGTGCCTGGCATTTGCAGGGATGCTCTCCCTTCCTGTATTTATGTAACAATATGGGAAGCTTTATGCTAAAGGTCTGGACAGATGTGGTTGTGTGGAGAAACAGCCCCCACATGCAACCCGCAGCCTCAAAAGACAGCAAGAACATACACCAAAATCAGCGATTATGAAAAGGTATTTCCTCTCCCAAAAGCTGCATCTCAGTCCATTCTGGATGCAGCAGTGCTCTCACACACACATGAAAGGATGGGGGGGCATGCCCCCCATGGCTGGGCTTGGGGTGGAAGCTGTGTTTCGGAGCTGATTGTCTCAGGGGATGGACCCAAGATGTTTCTGAATGCAAAGGCAGGACACATAACCAGCAAGCCTTCAAACTCAAGCTATGTGAGAATAAAAGAGGACTGTTGGCAATGGGGTGGCGGGAAACAAGGGTGAACAGGGCAAGATTTGTTTAGAAATCACTTCTGTAGCCACAGCTGAGACAATGGTCTGCTAACTCCTCTGAAAGCACTTTAAATACAGACTAGGATTAAATATAGACTAGGAAAAACCCAGCCCCATGGGGGAGCAGATGACAGCATCTTGTCATGCAACCAGCTCCAAGGCACATGCTTTTCACACCATGTTTTTCCCTGTCACGAGGGAAAGGCAATGCTGCAGGGCAAAATCCAACCATGCAAGCCAGGAGGAGCTGCTGTGCGCTTCCCCCACCCCAAGTAATCCAACAGGCAGCACGCAGGCAGCAGCCGCCCGGACAGCGCCACAGGGCTACACCCCACAGTACCAGCCACGCCACTACTCTTTCCAAAATCCTAAATGGGCTTTGCTGAGAGTTGGAGAAAGCTTGAAGGAAGCCCTGATGAGCACAGTCCCCCAGTCACTGGCTGGCACCCTGTGAATCCTCACCAGCTTTCTGGGGCATGGAAGTGCCAGGGATGGTGATGCCCTCGGACCGGTGTGGTGGGGGGCTGTGGGGTTTCTCTCTGGGTACCGCTTGCTCCACAGCAGCTGTGTCACCTCCCCACTCCATCTGCTGGGCTTCTGCTCACTGGGGGACATCACGGGACACCCATCCTGTGAGTCACCCGTAAGGGGAACAGCAGAGCTGTCTTCAACAGGGACTTGCAGAGCACGGATTTAACTTTGCATTAGCTGGGGCTATCAGTAAGGTTTTTGGGGAGGGACAAATGGGGCATGCAGACAGACCCAGACATGCTCCTCTCAGTAGAGAGGCCTGGATACTTCTCAAGGCATGGAAACATTGCTGTGACCAAGCTGGGGAGCAGCGAGCAGGATCTCCAGGATCTTATAAATACTTACAAATATCTCAAGGGTGGATGCCACAAGGATGGAGCCAAACTCTTCTCAGTGGTACCCAGTGACAGGACAAAGGGCAGCAGGCACAAACTGAAGCAGAAGACATTTCAGTTGAACGTGAGGAAGAAGTTCTTTACTTTGAGGGTGACAGAGCACTGAAACAGGCTGCTCAGGGGGGTTGTGGAGTCTCCTTCTTCGGAGATATTCAAAACCCACCTGGACGATGTCCTGTGTAACATGCTCTAGGACAACCTGCTTTAACAAGAGGGTTGGACTGGATGATCTCCTGAGGTCCCTTCCAACCCCTGCCATTCTGTGATTCTGTGAATAAGTGCCCTACCTACTCCTAGATCTCCTCTCCACCAGGCATGGTGCAGCAGCAGGTTTGGGGAGGGTCTAAGCTGTGTAGCAGCTATTAAAAAACGTATTGAAACCTATTAAAAAAAAAAAAAAAACAAAGGTCTTTTTCCTGCAGTGTTTGAATGCATGGCGTTCAGCTGATTTCTAACAGCAGCATTCCTGGCATGCAGTAGCATAGAAAAGGTTAAAAATAACTTCTGCAAACTCTCTGGGACAACTTAGCCCGGAAACCCAACCGCAGGCTTTCGCTTCCCAGCCCCACAGAGGGGAGCCCCTCAAAACCCCCTGGTGCAGGCTCCACGGTGGTACAGTGGGGCCGGCAGCAGAGCCCTGTCCTCCCCAACACTCCCAGCTCCATCCATCATGCCAAGCTGGTCCTGATGGGATTACAGTACGGACACACCTCTGCCCAGACACTGAGTTATAAATCAAAGATGAAGCACAGGCATCCGGCCATGCAGAACGGGGTCAGCGGAGAAAAGCAATCCCAGGAAAAATACTTATTGGCAGCGTAAGCCCCAGGTCCAGAAGCAACAAAACTCGGTAAAAACATGCAAACACCTAAAAGTGCAAGCCCCGAGGACAGGATGTAGGGGGAGGTCTTCTTCAACAAGCACTGACTGTAGCCCATGTAGGTGGGAAAGGACCCCTCCAAAAGCGTCAATGACAGAAACTCCCTGACTGCCAAGAATTTAGGCTGATAAGACCCAGAAGGGCTGGCAGAGCCAGGCAGTACCAAGCTCCATCAGGGCTGGAGATGGGGCCAGGTCCTTCCATGTGCAGCCAAAGGAAAGGAACTACGCGGTACCTGCCGCCAGCAAAGGGAGGTGGGGAGGACAGAGGCACATCCTTGCCTGCCCTGGAACTCAGCCAAGCCA